GGGACAGAATCTTGGGAGACGAGCGGACGGAAAGATCGTAGATGGTGAGGGTGTCTTCGTTGTAGCCAAAGCAAATCTCCTTGCCCTTGTGTGCCGTGTCTGGGCCGTTGTACGTCACGCACTGCGCGTCGTGAACGTAACCGTCGGCACCGGCACACCCAGCGTCTTTGGGGTTCTTGGGATTAGACACGTCGACCATCCACAGGCCTGCTTTGCATTTGCCGTTGCGGGCGGTGCCAACGGCGTAAATGATGTTGTTCTCTTCGTGGGCCACAATGTTGTGGCTGCTGCCGAAGCCGTTAAAGTGCGCGGCCAAGTCTTTCTTGACGTCAAAGGTGGGCGGGTTCTTGGGATCGACAGTCAGGAGCTTGGTCAGGTCAAAGATCTGAAGGCCGTGGTTGGGAGCCTCGGAGCCGATGTAGACGTGGTCACCAATGACTTTCATGTCGCGCCAGGTAGAGCTGTCGGTCTGCGTGGGAAGCCGTCCCAAGCTGACGAGGCTGCCGTCCTTTAGAATCTCGACAAAGGCAGATCCGTCGGTTTGACCGACAATACCAAACTCTCTGCCGGTGGAAGACGTCCAGCCTATCAAAGAAGCGAGCTGGTCAGCAAACCAAGTTCCTAACAAAGCAACTCGGGGTTATGTAGCCCGCGAGAGAAATTGTCATGTTTTCAAGATAGACAAGCGAGAGAAAAACGTACCCCAGACATCATTGCCGGCACGAGTTTGACTGCCCAGATCCTCGTGGCGCAGGAAACCCTTTAGATCGACGCTCTTGCATGAGTACTCGCCGGCTTTGCCATTGGAGCAAGGGGTGGCAAGCTGGAGTTTGTAGCGGCCTTCGTCGAAGACACCCTTTGCAATATCCTGCTCTCGCTCTGCAATCTTGACGCTCTTCATCTCCTCCATGGAAACGGCCAGGGGGGCGTCAACAGCCGCCAGGCTCTGGGCATTGGGGGCAATAAAACGCTCTGCCGTGCTGGTGCTGGCCAGCATGGCAAGGATGACGGACCTTGCGGATGCCTTCATGATGAAACTGCCAATGGACTATGGAGTAGAGGGGGTGGAAACCACAATGAGAGTGTTTGAGCACGATATGAGCAAGAATTCACTAGCTCGAAGAGTCGACAACAGACTCTTTATACCTCGTCCTCGCCGTACTTAAGACTCCATGAGTTTCCAACCTGCTCCTTTCGGTCCGCCTACACTCTCCGCAGACTAATCGACTAGACCCGACGGTATTCCGCACTTTTGATTCTCTACTTTGACAAAAAGTCCATGAACCGCAATGGCCTGCAGCGGCGTCTTGTCTTGGTAAATTAACCGGCGAACCGCAGAAAGAATTCGAGCCTTGGCCGATGGACTATCCAGGAAGGTTGCAACGAGAACTCTCATCGCGCTGCCCAAGGGGAAGATATGGAAAAGTGGAATACCATGTTGTGAGCCACTTGACCAGATCTGCACGCCAAAAGGTCCGCGTGTCGGGCTTGTTTCATGGCCGGAGATGTTGGGGATGGACACACAAGGAGGGCGGATTCGGGCCACGACAAGACACGAAAGGGAGCCCGGTTCGACTGACACCGTGATCTCGTATGCATATCGAGGCTAAAAGGCTCCGCTCCAAATGCCAAGCCGGACCGTGTCCATACAGCATAGGAGATAAACGGTCCGTTGGCGATAGAGTTCGCAATCGTGACGGTGGTTGACGACAGCGGGCCGGACCCTCTCTCTCATCTCTGATCTCTCACAACGATGCATAGATGGAAAAAGACGAAACGAACTGGACGCTTGGATGACTCCATCGCCCTATCCCGAGGAGGCAGCTGCGATGGGACATGGACGTTGCCAAGGCCGGACGCCTTGATAAGGTTCAAGGTGTGAGTTGTAACTTGTCGGCCTGCCTGTTTCTGCCAAGTCAGTCAACTCGTCTGGGTTGCGGTGGAGACGCTACCCCAGGCTTTAAGTCGTTTACGGCTTTGTGGTTACGTGACTACCAGACATGTAAGGTTCAAGGTTAAAATCAAAGTGGTGGGAATCAGATGCCCCATGACTGTGGATCTTCCAAGTTCCAAGTTCCATGTTGCAGAGACGCACCGTCTCGAGTCTCTGACCAGACTCTTGAGTCTGGAGGTCAACTGGTGCCTCGTCGACGGTCGTTCCTTCTCTCTCGACCGAGACTGGCTACTCCCGGGCTCATATTGCAGGGAACAGGAAAGTGCACAACCATATGATAAAAGCTGCGGCTTCCTTTTCGGCCATGTTGATTGCATTGAATGAGCTAGTGTACATGCGTGGAATCGACCCTCATTTATGTTGCATTGAGCCGCCACCCAGCATCTCGGCCAAATTCGTCTCATGAGCTGGCATTTACCATCGGAGCCTGCAGGAGTTACATTGTCTCGGATACAAAATTCATTCACGTGAGCACGCAATGCGCTCATTTCGAGCGCTACACGTACACAGCCAGCAATCTTCGTATGCCTTAGTCATGGTCAAGACTCAAGACCACCATCACGCCTTCAACTCGGCAATACCATTTATCGGATGAGTATGCGCCATGGACTGCTACGGGAGAGGGGGACCGGTGCTATTACGTACAGACACCAGCGAAGATGGATGCCAAGGCAACGACGGTCTTAGCCGCTGCTCCCGAAATGGGCCATTTCGACATGTTTGCCGAAAGCCTCGATGAGGTTTTTATCAAGGTGTCGATAGCGCAACTATCCCTGGCCATCACCGACATTATCGCCATGGCGTCTGTACACAGCCATGCCACCGCCTGCTGCGGCGTGACGTATTGCACAAACCAGCAGCCATCGTCGCCCTGAACGACTTCGCAATTGGCCAGATGGCACTGGCCGTGACTAAGAAGATGGTCATTTCGAATAATGGAAGAACCCAGGTGGAGCAGATAGTCCTAGATGCACAATATGGCTGGATTCGGAAGCAATCCGAACAGGTCCATGGACGTTTTCCAACTCGGCGATGATGACAGGGGCTACTAGCAAGACCGGCGAGCAAGCGAGCAAGTAGAATGGTAGGTTATTAAGCCAAACAAACCATGAATGAAACGAAAAGAGGTTGAAACATGAAGAGCATTTATCGTGATTAGTAACATGGCACACATGTGCATAATGTCTGACCCTTCCCGGACATGTCTTTCCGACTAGCGCCCTACCTGAAGCTCAATGGCAATGTCATAACAAGTGGAATTCAAAGGGCACATATCAGAATCCAGGAACTCTCCTTAAACCACAACGTGGCAGTAGTTTGGCAGTTGGCAGCCGCATGTGTATCATGTGGGTGATGCCGACCTAAGTTGTTCCCAAATAACACAGGGAACAGCGCTTGACGTCGCATTGTTCGGCATCAGTACAGCATGACTTGACCGTCTCGACGTATCTGTTAAACCCTATTTTTTCTCATGTCGGCCTTGTAAAAAATTTACTATTCTACGAAGACACGGCAACCAGGGCAGCCTGTTTTCGCTACTACTTGTGCCAGCCGCTGCGGTGCTCTGTTTGTTGCCCTAAAGACTGCACGGACAACCGCATATATTTGCATCATCTGTGAAATATATGCCTCTCATTCAAAAAGCAAATCTGTGGATTTGTGTTTATGGGTGCTAAATACACCCGGGCTGCAAGTAAGGCTTGTCCATGCCGCGTATTACTACCGTCACTAAGAATTAGACTGAATTCTGGCAGTCCACGTAATTTTAGTGCTCACTATCCTCGCGTTTTGGTTCCAGGACCACGCAAATTTAAGAATTAACCATGGATTTTGGCTCTGGCTTTCATATTACCATTCATTCCAGTTGTTAGCGGACTAGGTTGTTTTGGTCACCGAGTAATCTTACTCAATCTCGCCATGTAAGCCACGAGGTTGCTGTAGTCATGTCGAAATGCCCCCAAGATGACCATCTACCATATCTGAATAGGAGAAAACTATAATTTTTGCCGCATCCAGCTTATTGGGCATTGCCGTAGCAGATGCGCGTGGAAAAAAGTATCAAGAAGCACTTGACGCGCACTGCAATCCGAGTCGGCGCAAATCTTACATGCTACAACCCAAGTCGGTGCAAATGATGATCCGGATTTACAACCCTCGTCGTCGTCCGACGCGCATCTTCCAATGCAGAAAGAACCTTGAATTAAACGAGCAAAAGCTAGAAAAAAATTAAATTGGTGGAGGCTTAGTCCGTTCTGACGTAGGCTCACCGTTGGAAACTCGTCAGCAACGACCAAAACGAGGCTTGGTGGCTGCCTCCTGTCAGAGCATCCGTAGGGCTGGAAAGCTTCGATCAGAGGGGACCCGCCAACCAGGAACGATGTCGAGACGCACATATGCATGCATGTTGTAGAAGCTGACGACTCCATGTTCCCATCTTGCCATGGGTTTCGTGGAGCAAGGGTCAATTGGTGGCGTCCAGCGAGCACGCTGCCACGGTGGAGCCTAACTGCCGCCAGACCCATCCTTTCCGTCTAATGTGGCCATTCATATGCTGCCGAGACCACGCGTTTCTCTATTCAGATAGCTAAGCGAAAGCGAAGCCAAGAAGAATATTACTCCTTTGGGAACTTGATTCGACAGGGCAGCGTCAAGGGTTTGACTTTGCTCCAAGCGAAAGCGAGCATGTTTTGATGCATCACGATTCCCGACGAGGCTTTGCTTGACATTGATGGCGCGTCTGCGCGTGCACATCGTGAAAGCTATAGGGCTTGACCGTCGAGTCATGGAGCATAACGATGCAGCAACAACGGCCTGGCCGAACGCCCCCGACATGGAGCTTATACGCGTGCCCGTTGAGCTTTCCAAGAGAGCAACAGGTACGACGCCTATTATATATTTCATGGACCGCCTCCAGATATTCCCTCTTGACAAAGAATAGCACGCGTCAAGAAAACCCGCAACACCAAAGCCACCAGGCGACTAGCCACCTTCTCCCTCGAAGCCATTCCCAGCCAGGCCTCTCATCCCAAAGCCTCAACATCTCGACATGTCGTCCTCCGATCTCCCAGACCACCGCATCAGCTTTGGCCCCGATGCCAACTGCACGCTCTCAACATGTCCCGTTGAAGCCAGCGTCTACCAGTACCGTCCATCGCTGCCCGCAAACTCCGTCTTGCTCGCCCTCTTCGCCCTCGCCCTCGCAGTCCACGCCGTGCTCGGCATCCGCCGCCGAACCTGGGGCTTCATGGCCTTCATGATGGTCGGGTGCCTCGTCGAGATTGTCGGGTACGCGGCCCGCATCCTCCTGTACAAGAACCCGTTCGACTTCATCGCCTTCCTCATCCAAATCATCTTCATCACCACGGGGCCCGTCTTCTACACGGCCGCCATCTACGTGACGCTGTCCAAGACGTGAGTCCCTGCCATCCATCTCTCTGCATCATTCCACCTTGCTAAGATACTTCGCCCGCGCTGCCCCTGCAGCATCAACTACCTCGCGCCGCAGCTCTCTCGGTTCAACCCCAAGTTCTTCTACTGGATCTTCATCCCCGCCGACCTGGTATGCCTCGCGCTGCAGGCCGCGGGCGGCGCGCTGTCCACTCAGACCAAGGGGTCCAGCGATACGGGAGTCAACATTACAATGGCGGGCTTGGTGCTGCAAGTCGTTGTGATTTTCGTCTTTGTCGTCGCCTTTGCAGACTACATGGTGCGGTATACTCGGCATCCCGGCACGCAGGCCCTGACGCCGAGAGTGCGGCTATTCCTATCCTTTCTAGGACTGGCAGTCGTCCTGATTCTGGGCCGGTCCGTCTACCGAGCGTACGAGTTAAGCAAGGGCTACCGGGGCTCGGATCTCATTACGGACGAGGGGTTGTTTATTGGTCTTGAGGGAGTGTAAGTGCACGATACCGACTGGGGGCTGTTGGAACTTGGGAGACTTGTTGGCTAACCCTGGTGTAGGCTGATTATTATAGCCGCATTCGCGTTGTGTGTTGGGCATCCAGGGCTGTTGTTCAGCCCCAAGGAGAATGTTGCTCGATCGAGTTCTGCATCAGATGTTGAAAAGTAAGTGGCCGCGATGTATTGTATGTGTGGGAGAGGATTGGATGGTTACGAAAAAGGCCAGGCTTGGGGACTTGGCATCTGGCCCCTTATATTTTGTATCTAGACATGCCCGGGCAAACAATAGATTAATATCACATTCGTCTCTTCTCGCTAGCAATTTTCTTGGCAACTTATACAATCATTAATTAAACCGTCCATGTATACATTTCTATTCACCGACATGTTTCTCAGAGTCCTTGAACGCAGGCAGCTTGAACAGCCGCCTCGCATTATCCCTTCCAATCTTGGCCTTGTCGACCAAATTGATGGGCACGCCGTCGTACCAATCACACGCATCGGCAAAACACTCAAACGGATAGTCGATGGAGAACAGGATGCGATCGGCCCCAACCTCGGCCATGCAAAACTGCAGAGTCGTCGTGGAGAAGTGCCCGCTGGTGGTGATCCAGATGTTCTGCTGGAAGTACTCCCGGATGGTCTTCTTGCAGTCCAGGCCCAGCGGCTTCTTGACGTCCTCGAACCAGTGGTTGATGCGCCACATGTCGAAGGGGATGTGCTCTCCCAGGTGGCCCAGGACAACCTGCAGTTTGGGGTGGCGGTCAAAGACGCCGTTGGTCACCATGCCCAGGACGTGAAGGGACACGCCTTGGGCGAAGCTGAGAGGAGGGCCGATGAGCCACTTGCGCTTCGCCCAGAGCTTTTCGTGGAGCGAGCCGGTGGGATTACGCGGGTGCAGGTAGAAGGGGACGTCGAGCTCCTCGACGGTTGACCAGAAGACGTCCCATTCGGGGCCGTCGTAGAAGATCATGTCATCTTCGCCGGCCCGTTGAGTGTCGTTGACGAGGGCGCCCTTGAAGCCGTATTGGGTGACGCAGCGCTTGAGCTCGGTGGCTGCTTCTTGGGGGTTGTGCATGGAGAGGGTGCTAGTCATGTTTAGCTTTGTCGAGACTTTCTTTCAATTCAATCCCCAATCAACGGTCCATGACTTGGGCTGATATGGAGAGAGAGAGAAGGACTTACGCAAAGGCTCCAAATCGATCGGGGTGATTCTTAATGGCACCAGCAACATAATCGTTAATCTCTACGGCCAGAGCCTGAGCCTCCTTGGGGTCTGAGACGTCTTGTACTCCGGGAGCAGTGTATGAGAGAATCGTATAGCCGACCCCATGCTTGTCCATATACTTGATGCGGATATCAGTAATGTCCGTCATCTCGACGGCATGCTTGTCTGGGTTCACGGCAAACAGGGAAGCCCACCATCTCGTCTTCTCGTGAAGGCGAGGGAGGGCGAAAGCCTCCTCAAGAGCAACCTTTCCGTGCATTTCTGGAAATAAGGACAAGAGCAATTGGATTGCGCTAAAAAGTATGTAGACTGGGTGACTGTGTATCTATAAAAGCACAGGAACCAGAAGGGCGCGAATCTTTATAGCTGGGTCCATGTTTTCTCGGCCTAAAGCAGCTCCGATGCCGACGCCGGGCCAGGACGGCAGTACTGCATTGGATGTTTCAACCAAGGATGCATGAGCGCTCAACGGGCATTTTGGGCGTCGTGTGAGCGCACACCTGTTTGAACCTGACGTGGAGGGGATGAATGATGAGTGTGGGATTGTGACGGCACTGGGAAGCTGCGAAATCGAGGGGGCGTCGCGGGGCATCGCGGAGCACGGCCCACCCACTGTTGCGTCGTACTGGACAGTATCCGCCAGCTAACGCGGGGCATTTTGTACAGCAGGCCGCGTGGAAAATACGGTGCGACTATGGGCGGCATGCACGGCTGACGATGGGAGCCGCGGTGGTTGAACCGTCAATCACTGCCGTCGCACCAACCCTAACCCTGACCCATCTTGACAACCGACAGGCACCCAAAGCACAGTGACGCGCAAAATCCGACGGCCACACGCGCTCCGGCCGCGAGACAGGTGGTAAGTAGCTTGTGGTTGAACTCTCTAAGTATGTGAACTGACCACGATATTTGTCAAAAAGTGACATTCAAAGGGCGTTACAAAGAGACTCGATTAATAATTCGATTTGTGCTTCCGATGTTGGCTATGGCGAACCGCTGCCTTCGGAATATCGAGTTGTGGATACATCAAAGCGGCCCAAAGTCCAGCTCCCGGGCGACCCGGCCTCGGATAATTCCCGTGATGGTAACAAACTGAAGCGCTCATCAAGACGAGAGTCCTCCTGGCCCCCAAGCCCCATTGGAACACTCGTCTCTGTCGGTACCATCAACAAACACCCGCACCATGGCCAATTCATACCAAGCCCTCTACCCAGGCGACATGGCCGTCTCGCCGGAAATCGTCCAGTTCTTTGAGGACTTTTACCGTATATCAGACATTCCCGGAGAACACGACCAATACGTCGACCAATTCACACAGGATGCCATCTTCATCCTCGCTTCCAAAAAGTCACATGGGAAACAAGGTTTGTCCCCCCATTTCCTCCAGCAGCATCGACTGCATCTAAATCATGCCCAGAAATCCTGGCCACAAGAATCGGCATGTGGTCCGCTGTAGCGTCTCGCAAACACACCGTCCACAAGGTGTTTCCTTTTTCTAACGAGTCCAATGAATTCATGCTGTACGGATCTGTGGCCCTTGGATTGCGCAACGGTGCGCACACGGATGTGGATTGGGCTGCGAGAGCAGACATTGTCAAGTCCGTGGATGGTAAATGGAGGATGAAGTTTTATCAGGTTTACCTAGTACGTTGACTGCCGCGGCCACAATCTAGGCCAGTCTTGTTTCTTTGTACTCACTCGTGACACAGGACACGGGGGCGATTACATCACCCGCCAAATCGTAGAACAAGAAATACAGGTATACAGGCGATGCTCAAAACCTGAGTGTATACGAATTTGTTTCATTTATGCTTGAGATGCTTGATCAGTGCTACGAACAGCTTCAACAAAGGCGCCTACCAAATCTTCCACTTCCGGCGCCGCCTCAATGCAATGCCAGTGTCCAACGTCAGCTAGTATCTCGATTCGTTTGAGTCCGGCCTCAACTCCCCAGCTGCGAATATTTCAGAAAAACGGTCCTACAAAGTCGCATCCCAAGGCGCCACGAGCGTGTACGTACCTGTTCAGAATGTCCTGGGACCCGGTGAGCGGAGCGGTTTTGTCATGCGAGCCAGCAATGATAAGTAGTGGACACTTGATGTCCTCGTACCGCGGCCGTTTTGCGTTTGCAATTAATCTACAGAGCGACTTGTATCCCTCTGCTGTCTGGGCCAACAAGAGGGCTCGGATAAAGGCCTTTTGTGTAGCTGTTGCTTTGGGACCTGTAGCCGCGAACGGAACCACGTTTGCTACGCCTTCCATTCCCTCTGCGGGCAACATCAATATTAGAAAGGCATGTGGGGAAAGAATTCGTCGACTTGTGCTCAGTTCTTACCATTCTCGACAAGTTTAATGCGCGCGTCGAATACATCTGCCAATGCCGCTGAAGGATTCACAGGCCCGATAAGGATGACTCCCAAGATGTCCAAGCGAAGAGCTAATTCGCTAGCTATTATAGCCCCCATGGAATGTCCAACGACAACGATGCGTTTCACATCGAGCTCGAGGGCTGCGATGAGAGCTACTGCCGCGCCGCATATTGCTTCCCCATCGCTGTCGCTCCCCCTGTACGGCGATGAGGCACTTCCTACGTGAGGTCAATTTACACCATGTTGCGGGAAGATTCAATGACATTGTTGACGCGGCATACCTGGAGTATCAAATGCGAGGCACGAGAAGCCCTTCTGTACCAAGCCTGGAATAATCGACGCGTAGAATGAATTGCTCGACCCCAGCCCATGGATGAGGAGCAAAATTGGCCCCTCGCCTGCCGGACTCCAGCTGTAATACAGGTCTTGATTGTTAATTTGAATCGCAGGCATCTTTACTTTCAAAACTCAGAGGCGGGTCTGCGACAGCATTTCAACCGCTTCAACCAAAGACGCCTGGTTCGATTAATAATAGCTCGAGCCGAAGCAAGGCGCCGGCGTAACAGCACGTCCCGAGCTCCAACAATAGTACCGACATCATGACATGTAGTATCATCCGATTGAGTTTCTGCTGTGGAGCTTGTCGGAAGAAACTCAACCCCATCGGAACTTGGGCATCTCACAGCCACGTCAACAAGCGCAACACCATGTAATTGTACACTAATAATCCGACCCTCGCAAGTCACAGCCCGTGGTTCGCCAAGAAATCCCCAGGCACATTATTTATCAGGCAACGAAACTCCGGGCCCAGGCGACATGTAGCCGTCTGAAAATTTAACTTTCCCGGGCCATTACTTGAAAGTTGAAACCGTTGGTTGACCTTTACCGATCAATTGATCATAACCGATCACCACCAACACCGCGGCCAAAGAGAATCCCGACGACACACACCTAGTCATGGGCTCCAAACACACCCCGTACAGCTCTATAGCAGAGACGTCTAGAATCCTGGATTTTCTACTGCCCTTGTTCGACCATGTTTCCCTCCCGGCACAGGCGAGGAATAAGCGTGCAAATGTGCGCTTCACAGGCACCAGAGACCAGCCATATTTCCCCATCCCCTTTAAAGAAACCGAGCTCACAGCTGCACTAAAAGCCGTAGAGGGATGCGTGGCCTCGGCCCTGGCAGATGAGAAATTCGGTCAGGAACAACGGGACAGACGGATCGTCGTGGATCAGGAGAAGACGACGGCATTCTTGTTCCAGGCTTACCTGGCGAGAGTCGGGGGACTAGGAAAGCTAGACAAGGGAGTCCGGGCGCTTCTGAAAGGTGAGAAGGGAGCGCGAGCGGCCAAGAAGCCGCGTCAAGTTTTGAGCTCAAGCTGAGGGAGAGGCCCAGACACCGACCTGCTGCAGGCGCAGTCCAACCCGTACCGGCGCATGTCGGCGAATCTGTACGAGACCGCCGAAAGGGGCGAGTACTATCACATCCACGGATCTCTGGAGGCGTCGACCACGCTGAGAATGATTGGGCTGGAGCCGCACCGCCCGGACCTGGAGTCGCATCAGGACATTGTCAACACGATCGAGCCGGCGGTGAGGAAGCACACCGTCGAGCAGCTGGAGGCGATGAATGCCCGGCACCGTCAAGCTGGCGTCAAGGCGTTTCGGCACGACGAGTTTCTGCAGACTCCGCACGTGAGTGTACTGGCGTCACCGTGTCTTGTTCTTACATGTGTCGCGGGTGCTGACGACGGCCGCAGGGCAGAGAAAACTGGTCACTGCCACCCTGGTCGGTCGAGAGCCTGGAGACGAGCACGCCCAGGGTGCCGCTGCCGAACACCGGCGACAGGAGGATACTGTCGGGCATCAAGGTCCTGGACCTGTGCCGCATCATTGCAGGCCCGACCATCACGCGGATCCTGGGCGAGTACGGCGCAGAGGTGCTCAAGGTGACGAGCCCGAATCTGAGCGACGTGCCGTTCTTCCAGGTCGACGGAAACATGGGAAAGCGCACCGCGGCTCTGGATCTCAAGACGCCAGGGGGCCGGCGGGCGTTCGACGAGCTGCTGAGGGATGTCGACGTCGTCGTCGACGGATACCGGCCCGGCGCCTTGGAGAGGCTCGGCTACGGACCGAAGGCCATGGCGGACATGGCGGCCCGGCGAGGCAGAGGCGTCGTGTACGTCAACGAGAACTGCTTCGGGTACAAGGGCGAATGGGCAGGCCGGCCGGGCTGGCAGCAAATCGCCGACTGTGTAAGTCGGCCCATCCATTATTGTTGATCCATCCATCCCCCTTCGAGTCTTGGGCCTCACGGCACTGACAACACGCAGGTCACGGGCGTCGCGTGGGAGCAAGGGCGCTTCATGGGCCTGGACGAGCCCGTTGTTCCGCCGTTTCCCATCTCCGACTACGGCACCGGCTGCATCGGCGCCATCGCCGCCTTGACGGGCCTGTATCACCGCGCGACAAGGGGCGGGTCGTGGCACGGCACGGCCTCTCTGTTACACTACGACCTGCTTCTGTTCAAGGTCGGCCTGCTCCCGCGGCACGTCCAGGAGGAGCTTCGACGACAGGCCGGGCCCGAGTTTCTCGCGTTGCGCCACGCCCACAGCGTCGACCAGATTTCGGGCACGGCTCTGAGACGCATGCGGCAGCTGTTTCCCGAGTTTGTAGATGACGCCAGGTACTTGGACCACTGGTATTCGGAGGGATACAAGGCGAATGTATCTGCGGTTTTGCCCGTGGTGGAGATTGAGGGCTTGGATATCAGTTTTCAGAGGGCGAGCCGGCCGAATGGAAGCAATGAGGCGAGTTGGGATGGTGGCGACGGCGGTGAGGAAGGGGATTGTAGAATAGCGGCCAGTTAGGTATTTTACATGATGGC